ACATAGAAAGCAGAACAACTCCAAGGGGATTGGCTAGATCTGATAAGGCCCTTTTTGAGTAATTCTTTAATTTCTTGTCGACAATGTTTTTCAAGGTCCGAATTCATTTGGATAGGCCTAGCCTTGGTGGGAATGAGATTTTCATTGAAATCTTTTTCGTAAGGTAGATCAACCTGATGTTGTTTTTGATGCCAAAAAGCATTGGGTGTATCAGCACAAATAGAGCTTTCAATGTGCTCTTTTAAAGAGTTGATTCGTTTTTGCAAAAGGGGTTGAGAAAGCTGTTGTAAGATTCGCTGAAAATGTATCTCATCGTGCAAATAAGATATTTGATTAGTTTTACAACGAATTATATGGTTTACATATTTTATAGAAGAACGTCGTAAAACATTGAGGTTTCGAACTTTTGGTTTTTGGAGAAATGAGAATTCAACAGTGTTGCCTAACACAACAGTGTTAATTCCTTGGTCGGTGACGGTAAAAGGTTTTAGAAGATTTAGAAAAGGTGTCCCTAAGATCACCTTTTGTTGCATGTCACGAACTAGGATAAAAGGAGTTTTGAATTCAACATTTTGATGACAAATTAAAGCATTAGAAAGTTTATATTGTATTTGAAGAGGTTGAGAGTTAGCGGTAGATAGACGCTCGAGGGTCTTTTCATAGTACTTAGTTGGAATTAATCCTTCTTGGATGCAGTTCATGTCTGCGCCTGTATCAAGAAGGGCCACTGTGCTTAAAGTAAAATCAGAAGAAACCTGAATATTAATGATAACATACCATTTTTGGGTAGTAATGGTAGATAAAAAACATAGAAAATCGTCATCAGTTAGCGTTTCCTCTGTTTCTAAACTGTTGGTTGCATGAGGAGTTTCATTGAAATAGTTGTCGGGGCTAGATGTTGATGGCTCTTCTAAAGGTTTGAGAGCTATTAAAGTTTGTAATATCTCATGATCACTATTTTGTAACTGTCGTAACTGTTGAATTTCTTTCTTAACAATATCCAATTCCTTTTGGAAGTCAGGAAGAGAAGGATTGTGGGAATCATTATTATTATGTCGAGAAAGGATATCTTTGACACTATACGTCGAACCTTGATGAAAGGGATTGGTAGGTGGAATAGTCACAGGAGGTTTCTCCATGTGCTCATGAAGTTTTTTGAAATATTTTTCTTTGAGATGAGGATTATCAATATTATTGATCAGATCTAAGATAAGCTCTTGATCTTTGGTTAAAACATTGATAGAAGATTCAGAACTTTCATCGATGTCATCAAATTGTAAGGCCTGAAGATTCTCATCATCATCAGAAGAAGAAGAAGAATCCTCATGAGAAGAGTAGTGTTGGAGAAAAAGATTATTGATTTTGTCATGAATCTCTTCATCAAGATTAAGCTCATTGAGCTTCATTTTTATACGACAATATTTGGAAATATGACCTGTTTTTCCACAACGAAAACAAGTAATGTTTTTATTTTCATTGTTAGATTGTGGTCCCTTATCTGGGCGGGGATTCCTAGAGAAATGGGATTTTTGATTCGTGGTTTTAAAAGATCGGTAGGGACGATCGCGATGTTTTTTTATGAGGTTTGGTGCTACAATCCTCGCAGTTAGATTTGGAAGAAATTTTTGAATAAGATTCATCAAACTGAGCACAAAAAGATCCTAGTTCTTTTCGAGTTAGTTTTTGTTCGCGTTTAATTTGTTTTTGAAGTTTTAAATCATGGAAAATTTGTAATCCTTCTTTTTGTATAAAGCTAATAAGTTCTCCATAAGTAAGTTGCTCATAAGGAATTTGACCATTAAAAGTGTCTTGGATTTTGTTTCGGATTTTATCTCCTAAGAGACGGGGTAAACCGGCTAAAAACTTTTCTTTCCAAAATGGTTGATTACCATCTTCTCTTTGCATAACCCTAGTTAAAAAGGTATCTTTGTACCATCGGAAGTCATGAAACTTTTTACAACGAAGATTAGAAAGTAGTTCGGCATTTTTATCTTTAAGATGTGAAGGATCTCCAATAAAATGTTTTGAAATGGCAAAAATCAGGGATGCAACTGCATCTTGAGAAGATTGATTATTGGAGTCCAAAATAGGAGTTCCAGAAGAATCACATTTGACAGCTGTAAAAATAGTTCTCTGGTCATCCGTGGTTAAGATATTATCCCACCAACCCTTTAATTGACCAGCAAAGCCGGCTATAAGTAGTTCAGCTATAGCGTAATCAGAAGTTTGATTTTGAGTTTTGTAAGCATTGGCTACCATGGTCATTTGTTGAAGAAGGTACAAAATTTGATATTCTGAAAATCCATCAAGATTCCATTCATAAATAGAATTGGAGTTGTATTTATTTTGGATAATGGTGGGTTTCTCTTCGAGAGCTAAATCAGGTGCTGTGGGACGTGGGTAATACATTTTAGATGCAGAGGGTTGATTCCATCGGAGACGATTGATTTCTGTTTCAATATGACCTTCTAGGTCTTGAATTACTTCGGCTGAGTCATCGACGATTTGATCCTCGTTGCTCGTGGATTTTGAGTCTGAAATATAAGGAGTCTTAGAAGTGGATAGTTGTGTAGAAAGTTGTTTAAGACGTTTTTCTATTTCAAGCTTAAATTCAAGACTAGATTCTTTAGAAACTTCAAAAGGTTTGAAAATGGGGGAATTAAGTTTGTTGGAAGGAGGAATAAGAGTATTTGAAGTAGACGCAAAAGACAGAGGTAGACTGATTTCAACATTAGTAAGTTGATCTCCTAATGTCTGAAGAAATCGGTTTGTATAATTGTTTTGTTCAATCAGACGTCGAATATCTTCGCCTTTGACATGGTCACTATTTTCTCGTTTTAATTTAAAAGGAGAGGCTTGAACTGCTGTTCCATAATAAGAAAAATTAACAGGAGCATTAGGGGGGTGAATAGATTGGATCTTAGAGTTATTAGTAGTTAACCAAGTCATAGGCTTGGTTTGAACATTTATCAAATATTGAGAAAAGACTTGTTCGAACCAATTAAAGAAAGAATGGTGTTCTCGTATATTATTGAGATAATCATAGAAAGAGTTTTGTATAAGTACACGTTCTTCTTTAGAGTAATCAGTAAAAAATTGCTCGCGTTTAAAACGGTTTCGTTGGGAATAGAAATCATGGCGAAGAAATTCTTTGTTGATTTTGAACTCTTGTGTGATGACATCAAGAGCAGAAGGGATTTCTTCTTCAGGAAATGCAGCTTGTGAGGCAGTAGGAGACATATTTGGTGTTCTCGAGGTATTTATATTTGGAAAAAGAGTTGTGGGAGGTGGTGGAGTATAAACTGGCTGAGGTATGTTGTTGGAGTTGTTGATTCCTCGTAGATCATAGTTGAGTGTAGAGGAGGTATGTCGAGTGGGTGTAGGTATGGGAGAAAGATTTCTGCAAGATTGGCTTCTAAGAAAAGTATTGATGCGCTGTCGAGCATCGTCTGTCAATTCAGGGTCTAAATCAGAAATGCTAGAGATGGAGTTCCTAGCAAAAGAGATGTTAACAGTACCATCAAGATGTTGAGTAATTTGATTAACCTGACGATGGTCGATGTTTCTGGGAATGGTGGCTCCTTCAAGGGTCCATTCTGTAGGAAGAGTAACTTCTCCCCATTTGATAGTTTTGGGAGTAACAGTGTTAGTACGAGTTAAATCAGTTTGCCAAAGTATAGTTTCTCCTTTTGTACCATATTGAAGAGCTTTAGAAGAGAAAGCAGATTTCATAGCTTTATAGTGTAAGCGGTAAACCAAAGAGATTGGTAAAGATCCTTGTTGGATTTTATAGTTGAAAGTTTTTATTTGTAGGGTTAAAACATCTAAAATATTTTTGTCATGAAGAGAGACAGTAAAGTTTGGAAAACAATTGAAGTAAATTGGGCCATTACAAAGACTTGATTCAACAGTTCCAAGTAAAGAGTCGTTAAACTCAAGAAACCGACAATCTCGTAAAACCATTAAAATAGCAGTATTAAGACCTTCTTTGGATAGAGGCTTAATCCCTACTTGAACTAACCCAATATGGATATAGTTGTACTTCTTTTTGTGTTGTTGAATAGAATTTTGAGACAAAAGTTTGATAGTTTCATAATCATTGAAAAGATGAATATCTCTTTCTTCGGTTTTGATGGTATAATCCATTTTATTGAGGAAGTTAAATTTGCTTTGCTCATAAATTTCCTTTTGGGCAATCCTAGGAATTTGCAAATTATCAATTTCTTTACTAACAGTTTCAAAATTAATTTCTTCTTGGTTGATCACACGGTTCCCGGTGATGTCAGAATTAGAGGAAGAAGAGGAAGGTCTAAAAATCGAACTCATGACTAGAGGAAAGAAGGTAAACAAAGGTAGGATCTAACTTACAGGTGAGATAGATTAACGGCCAAAGACGGTCTTACAACTCTCTCACAAAGGACTCAGCTAGGATCTAACCATGGGGTACCCATCTCTCAACTAATAATAAGTAAGAAGATTTAGACAAACCCTTCCCCCCAGGCTCTATCATATTAATTTTTAATTATTTATCATGACCCTCACTACCATCATCACACTCCCGCTACTCCTCTTCCTTCTAAACCTCCTCTCCCCAGCCGCCGGCCACGAGGACAACTCTACCATGTGCTTTTGAGTTTCTCCATGTCGTGCTTACTGTGTGGGTTTGTGCAAAGGGTCTTCACCTTGCTTCCTCAAACTAACCCCTGTTGACGATGGAACTCTACATCCCCTGCTTGCTTGCTTTGGCGACGGAGATATCAAACACCAGCAGACAGTTGATGGCTTCTAACGATCTCACAATGCCCACTTCCTGCCACGTAGCGTCGCCGGCAAATGGAACGCCGCCTACACCCGCTCCAGCTGCAACGCCACGCCAGACGTCTGTTATACGCCTCCCTCTCCCACTACTCCAACACCGACTTGCGCCCGCCTCTGCCCTCCACGACTGCCTCTCCAACCTCAACAACGCCGCGGAGGAGATTTGCGGCTCCCTGAAGCAGATGCGGCAACGAGGCGCGACGAGGGCGTCGGGGGAGGCGTTCCGCTTCCAGATGAGCAACGTGCAGACGTGGATGAGTGTCGCGCTGACGAACGAGGAGACCTGCAGGAAAGACGTCCAGGGCGTCGGGGGAGGCATGGCGGTGTACGCCCGTGCTGCAGAGGCGAAGAAGTACACCAGCATTGCGCTTGCGTTGGCTAAACGGAGGCCAACGACATATAATTTATTAATTTTTTATTAAATAATTAATATGATAAAATATATAGATATAGTAAGTGGGATGATGAGTGGAAAATATATTTTTTAATTTTTTTAATGTCCACGTCATCTAGTTAACAGTCAAACTTTATAGTTGACTGCCACGGAGGACAAAGTTAACAGAATGTAACGGTCGGTGACTAACGGTGAAACGATTCGTAAAGTTAGTGGCGAATAAGAAAGAAAAGTAATCCGGGTGGCAAACGTGAAAGATTTGTAATTCTTTCTACTTCTCGGGGTATAATGACACTCTGAGAGGCTCGACTAGAAAGAATTGGTGAAGAACTCTTGTGTAATATAGTAAGCCTTTGGATATAAAACGGATATAAAAATTGTACCCGTCTCCTCCATTTCTATTTGTGTTGTGAAACAAAAAGAGAAAGATGGGGCGGGTACCCGACCGCCTTCGACCCAGTCAACTCGGGAATCTCTAGTTGACTTTGTATGGGGCAATCCATACCCCAAAAATGTTTTATGGGTATGAGGCGGGTATGATTTTTTGACTCTCCCACCCTATACCCAAACCCGCCCCACCAAGGATATTATGTTATATACATAAAATATAAGGAGTGTATTGTAACTTATTAATCGAATGAAGGGTAATTAAAAGAAAAAATAAAGTGTTAAAATGCAATTGATGTCAACCAAACCGTAATTTCATCCTCTTATGTATTTGTTCCATAATTTTCGGTGGGTAGTATCCATATTTAATTTGTCACCATATTCTTTTTTTAATGGTGAGTAGTTGTTGGGGTGGTACCCATGGGTATTCGAAAACCGCTGGTATGGGATGAGTTTGTAAGACCTTCCACTGCATGGGTAGGAGGCGGGTATTTGGAAATGTGGATGAGGTTGGTTTAGGCAAACCCACCCTATTGTCATCCCTAGATTGTGGTGTGAGTTACTCTAAAACAAGCATACTTATTTGAATTTACTTATTTTTGTGTATTACTAATTAAGATAAATAACTTTATAACAAGAAAATCATCCTCGTATAATAAAGGTGTGTCGCTCACAATTGTTTAAGGTGTGTCGGAAGTCTCGAATTAAAAAAATTTGTACAAAAAATATATAGGTACTTAACAAAATTTCCGGGCGAGGGTGTGTCGAACCTAGGTCCGCCACTGGACCTCACCCACCTCGACTTGTCCCCGATGCACCTAACCTTTCCATCTTCTCCCTCTCGACTAACAAAGCGGTGGACAACGATCAGAAACACGGCGGCACGACGCTGCAGCAGCGGCGGGAGCACGAATCGATGACGAGACCAGACCAGAGACCGAAAGTATCTCCCAATTGATGACGGAGCGAATTTATTCTAGTTTCCGTGTGAGATTGAAGGTGATGGAGTTGACATTAAATTGGCAGCGGGAATCCAAGAGGAGGAGGGAGGTGGCGCGGCGGAATCAGAGATGCTATGATGATTAATTAGTTAGCAACTCTTCTCTTCTCTTCAAAGAAGAAACATAACCACTATTGATACCATTAATTGCAGCCAAAGGTGATGGGAATTTAGAAGGGTAGCAAAGACTGAACCACGAAAATGGAAGGCATGGTGGAAACAACTCTTCTGCTTTTCCCTTCGTTGGCGGTATGTCACGGTAACCAGTTATCGGCTATCCGGTATTCTGTTAACTTGTTAAAAACCGGTATATCATTAACTGGTTAGCTGATTACCGGTATACCAGCCATAGTGATATAATGATGGTATAATAGTGACATATATTGTTATGAGGTCTAATTTTTATCAAAATAATTTGATGACATCATAGTACCGTTATATCATCCTATTGTCATTATATCATAATGATATGATAGTGGTATGATGTGTGCATTGAGTTTTTACCATATTCTTCATAGGATGCGATTGGATGCTAACCATTCATTAAGTTAGCACCGTAATAACCAAAAACATCTTCTTTCCTTCACTTTCCATAAATCTAAGGGTTGATTTATTAGAAGGGCATTTTGGGTATGTGAACACTTGATCTCAGCCTTGGTGTGCGGTGTTTAGGGAGGAACCGAATCGTCTATCCATTTCAGCCATTTTTCTCCTCTTTTCTCTCTAATCTTCTCTCTCTTCCACTGGCAAAATGACCCATTAAAACAATAAAAGGCCTTGCTATTTTTGCCATTTTTGTCCTCGTTGTCCCTGCCCTAGCCGTATCCGCCCTCCTCGCCGTCATCGCCTACGTCGCCGTCGTTTTCTTCAGCCTCTCCTGCGTCTCATGGTCTGCATCGCTGCAACCTTCACCTCTGTCGCTCAGGTCGCCCTTGCTAGAGTTTCCCGAATCGAATTTGTCCATGGCTTAGATCTTGTCGATTATGCAGTTGTCCTCTTCTTTCGACCTATATTTCTTCTGCCCCTTCGCCACAGTTGAACCTTCTAGGTATGATGTGGTTTTCGTGTGTTACCCATCTCACCATTTGTTCAACGGTGCAGTTGCATGCAGTCTCTTGTTTTGGGTTTGTGTTAATGATTTTCGTCGTTGTCGATTCTCCCGGAAGCTCATCGGTTTGGGGTGGTTTTGAACATCCTAGTAGTGTTTTTCAGCTCTACTTTAGTATTTTGTTATTTTTGGGAATGAAATATGTAAGCGGTGTTCTCTATTTTTGCTCGTTGTGGCAGTGTTCTTCAGATTTACAATGGTAGTGCATGTTTTTATTGTTCGAAAATTATTTTCGTAGTGTTCTACAATCTTTAGAAGTCCTCGTAGTGTTCTTCAGATTAGCATTAGTAGTGATTCTGCAAGTAGTAGTGTTCTTCAAATCTTCGGTGGTAGTGTTTTTATTGGTATTTTGGTAGTTGATAGGGTATATTAGTAACCCCCAAGGCAAAGCTCTAGCTAATGGCATGAAGAAGGAAAGAAGACAAAAGAGAAAAAAGACAAGGCTGGGAGACAAGAGACAAGCCCAGGCACCTGACATCAGCAAGGACAAGGGGCAGGGGGACACCCTCTGTCAAAAAGGACTATGTACAGTGTCAGAAAGTCTGAGGCGCCCGACCACAGCATTTATGGCTTGGCAGGCGCCCAGACCACGACCTAACCCTCAAATGTGTATAAATAGGAGTTCTCTCCTCATAAATGGCAATCTATCTACTCTTACTCTAACTTCTCTCTACTTTCTCTCTCTACATACTTCTTCTCTTCCTCTGCTTCGGACGAGGCGTGGCGCCTACCCCCTCAAGGTCATGGCTGACGCCCCAAACCCCTTGGACCCGAGCGACCCCCAGTCGATCAGGCTCAAACAATTGGCGCCCACCGTGGGGCCAAGCATGACTTTGAAAGACGCTTCCAACTCAAAGAAGGGAGAAGAAAGGAGTCCGGCACCTACGAAGACCCCTCTCAAGCAAGTTGTTGGTCGCGAGGCTATCAACCCTCAACCACTCACCATCCAAGGTTTGGAAGCATCCGACGACGACGATCCATCGGGAGACAGAGAAGGCACGGAGTTCCTGGAGGGCCAGCTAGCAAAGCTTCGGGAAAAGCAAACACTTGAAATGGCAAGCATGCAAGGCCAACTAGACCAAGTCATGACCGCGTTGACGGCACTCACCAAGGCCAACGACCAGGCGCCTCCCAATTCACAAGAAGCCACGGAAGAGAGGAGGCGCCTCCGAGGAAAGATGCAAGAAGTTGAGGTGCCACCCATGAACTCCCCACGGGAGGGTGTAGGCGCCTCACCAGAAGAAGAAGCGTTCGAAGCTGATGACGCCGCCTTCCTAGAAAGGAAATGGAAATTCACTACTGCGGAAAGTGATCATAGAGAAACAAATGGAGTCTTCCTGGACTCGCTTCCTCCATCGAGGAGAAGCCTAAGCGCGTTACTTCCTTCTCAGGGGTACGCGTAGGAGAAATCGATTCTTGCTCAAGATATTCATCTTGGCAAAGCATTTACCCGCGACTAGCGGAAGAGCCCTAGTGCTTACACGTGGAATTTTATCCGAGTGTTGGGCGCTCGTTTTACGAGTCCCCATGAGAGGCGATATTTTGTCCACATCCCTTGCAAAAAATTCCTGCCTTGACAGAAGGGGTCACCCAAACCCGCTTTCTCCGTCGAGGAGAAGCCTAAACGCGTTACCTCTTTTTCAAGGGTACGCACGGGATACTTAAGCTCGCTTCCTCCGTCGAGGAGAAGCCTAAACGCGTTACCTCTTTTTCAAGGGTACGCACGGGATACTCAAGCTCGCTTCCTCCATTGAGGAGAAGCCTAAGCGCGTTACTTCCTTCTCAGGGGTACGCGTAGGAGAAATCGATTCTTGCTCAAGATATTCATCTTGGCAAAGCATTTACCCGCGACTAGCGGAAGAGCCCTAGTGCTTACACGTGGATTTTTATCCGAGTGTCGGGCGCTCGTTTTACGAGTCCCCATGAGAGGCGATATTTTGTCCACATCCCTCGCAAAAAATCCCTCGCAAAAAATTCCGCACGGGATACTCAAGCTCGCTTCCTCCGTCGAGGAGAAGCCTAATCGCGTCACCTCCTTTTCCGGGGTACGCGTGGGGAGACTTCAGCCACGCCATCGCAAAACGCGGTAGTCGGGGTCGTCAGTAGCTCGAAATTTGCCCGTTTCAGGCTCGAGCTCCACACTGGACATGTCACCCTCGAAGCTTTAGCTTTCCCTTTGGAGGGAGCGGAGGCGGCACCCATAGAAGCTGACGTCTGCGAGTTATTAGACTCCATGGCAAAGAGAGAGAGGTGGACAGAAAAGCGAGTCTTGATGAGAACCGGGCGCAACACCGAAGCAGGTAACGCGCGAGCAAAAAACCGTTATTATGCCTCGTAACCTTAGGAGAAAAGGCGCCTTAGACGTATTGAAGCGGATAAACCTACATCGCAAATAAAGAATAAGACGAAAGAGGGTGAAGCACCGCTCGAGCAGGGAAACAAACAAACACCTAGTGAGCACGATTCAAACAAAGGAGGAGGTGGCGCACGGAGTATCCTGAAGGAGGTGACCTAATCCAAAAACAAGCAACAA